CAGCATCTCTCTTGTTCTCTGAACTTGACTGCCCCTGCCCTTCCCTCTGACTCAGTTCCTCTTAGGCTTGGAGTCTCTTCCAGCATTGGCATTATGCCTCCATAAAACCTTTCCTGTTCCTCAACTTGTTGCTGTGTCTCTGCTTCCCGCATGCCACAATGCATGTTACCCCTTCATTTATACAACTGATGCCCCTGACAAGCTTGTTCAAAGACCCTTAGCTGTAGGTATGCTCCCTATTGTGTATCTGTGGTAGCAAAAACCCCATGGGATGGCAGAGGTGCTTGGTATCTTAGCCTTGTCTACACTAGAGAATTGTAGTATTGTGACTAACCATCATGCAGCGTCCATACTAGCCATCCTGTTTGAGCTGTACCAAGTCCACTGCGTCCGCCCAGAACGCTCCCTGCACCATGGCAGCTTTACTGGATACATCTCCTGCTTTTCCCAGTAGTTCCTCCTCCACTCTTCTGCCCTAAGCACTCAAGATTTCACATATTTTATACGTATAAAATGTACATGCTTAGTTTCAAAAGTGAAATAGCCCATGGATTTGAGCCTTAAGCAGGGAGGGCAGTGGAGGCACCCTGGGGGTATTGGTGGGTTTTTGCCAGGCCCAACTAAACTATCAGTGCTCCCGCTTCGGAAGTGCGGAGCAATTTGGTGCAGCATGCAATGGGTCTGAGCCTTGCTCACCTCACTACAGCTGTAGTAGCTTTGGCAACATTGTGAGCATTTGAGCTCCAGTGTGAGCATTTTGTGTGTACAGGTGTGCCAAGCGCTTTCACTGCTGTAAATCTCTGGCATTGGAGAGCCCTTGGAGCAGTGATATAACAGTGTAGTGTTGGGGTAACAGCAGAAGTTAGCTTCAACTACTGCAAAGTAGGGCTGCTACTTAACTGTTTAATAAGGTTACTTCTGCATGGGCTTTTGGGTGCAGATGAAAACCTTAACGTTGAGGTCAATATGAGGACAGAAGTCACCACTGCTTTTCAGTTGAGACATAATGGCATTTCTTTAGAATCCCCCTTGAATCTGTCTTGGGCTGGAAGTTTATCATAAACCACCAGCAGCTGTGGTTTACCCTGCTGCAGGAACATTATGTCCAGCTCTGATATTGGTCTGCCTGTGTCAGAAAACATTTTGGTTGTTTTTAAGTAGAGGGAGGGTTTAGTTCAGATGTTTGGGGTTCCCCCCCTTACTGGTGTCATTTATGTGGGCCTATTTGCAGGATGATGGAGGTTTAACCTCCTCCTCTCATCCTATTCAAAGCCACAAGGCCTTTATCCATGTTATGTTTTTTTATTTTTTTTGTGATCCCATTCGTTCATCCTAACAGCTTCTGTACAAATATAAAAATCAATGTAAAATCCGGGTATTAATTTCCCTGTCAACCTGCTGTTTAATGTACATTGCTCTGGTTACAGCTTTCCATCTGTTTAGCATGGCAGAAAGCGTATTCCCCCTTCCCAAACACACACATCTCCCTGCTTTGGTAGTGTAGTGAGCCCCAGCTTTAATTCCAAGAACAGCACCTGGCTTTTGTGCATATAAAGAAATTTTCAGAAACTTGGCCATGTAGCTTTTCCCAGCTCTTGGGAGGAAATAATCCTGTCCTAAATCACTGAAGAAACTGGGCAGCTAGGGCTAAGCCCAGCACTAGTATCAGCTGGGGCTAGCAGCCAGCATTGGGCAGAGTTAATTATAGCAGGAAGAGATAGCAACTCAATGCAGAAACACACAAGTGGCTGCTGACCTTTTTTCTGCAGCATGCACCGTAAATGAGAGTCTCAGCTGAACCCTCTTCTGCTTCTACCCCTACTTCCTTTCCTAAGAGTTTTATTCCACACGTATTATTTTTCCACCATTCAAATGTGATCCTTAAAAGTAATTCATGCTGGTTGTTCGGGAGGGGGTTAAGCCATAACTATGCAGATACTGATGTGTGTATCCATTTTCCATGGTGGATTGGCTTGATTTTAAAAGAAAAGAGGAAAAAATAGTGTTGCTCCTGAGGATTTATTTCAGGAACATTCTACACGTCTAGTCAGGGAATAACATGTCTCTTAGTACATGTCATCCTGCCATCTTCCAACATTAATAATCTGGACTATAAACTGCACATAGGCGTCACTTCATCCACCCTTCAAATGCATCAGCATCTGGCTTTTATGTATATTCTGGAAAATTTCAGGTTACTTTCTCTTGTTTTTGTGAGTGATTTAAAGGTACACGGTCCACTTTACACCAAAATTTAAATGCGGTAAAAAGAAAGACCGTAGAAAACTTAAGACCAATATAAATGTATCCACAGCTTGAGAGACAAGACAGCTATTTTACAAACACAGAAGCACTGCATCTCAAATGGTACAGCACTGAAAATCTGAGCAGGAACCCATGCATAAGCAAAAGTGAAACTGACTTTACTTTTCATAGATTAAAGTGAGACAAATGCAAAAAGGAAATAAAAGGTGAAGGTGTTTTTAAAATTCCTTCACTTCATTTAAACAGGACCAGCAGTAGAAGGACAATAAAGGGGCAGAATAAATTCACTGAGCCTAAAAGTTGTCTCTTGTGGGTTAGTACAGTCCTACTTTCCTTAACCATTTAATTTATCTCCACATCACTCTTTTCCCGCTCTTGTTTTTTTCTATTTAAACTCTCTCCTTTCTGGCTTTGAGTCATCGTGTTCTGTTTACAAGCAGGTTTCAGAGGAACAGCCGTGTTAGTCTGTATTCGCAAAAAGAAAAGGAGTACTTGTGGCACCTTAGAGACTAACCAATTTATTTGAGCATGAGCTTTCGTGAGCTACAGCTCACTTCATCAGATGTATACCGTGGAAACTGCAGCAGACTTTATATACACACAGAGAATATGAAACAATACCTCCTCCCACCCCACTGTCCTGCTGGTAATAGCTTATCTAAAGTGATCAACAGGTGGGCCATTTCCAGCACAAATCCAGGTTTACTCACCCTCCACCCCCCCACACAAATTCACTCTCCTGCTGGTGATAGCCCATCCAAAGTGACAACTCTTTACATAATCAAGTCGGGCTATAAATGGCCCACCTGTTGATCACTTTAGATAAGCTATTACCAGCAGGACAGTGGGGTGGGAGGAGGTATTGTTTCATATTCTCTGTGTGTATATAAAGTCTGCTGCAGTTTCCCGGTATACATCTGATGAAGTGAGCTGTAGCTCACGAAAGCTCATGCTCAAATAAATTGGTTAGTCTCTAAGGTGCCACAAGTACTCCTTTTCTTTTTGTTTACAAGCAGTGGTGCAACTGCACTGGTACTAGCTGTCAGATCCTAGCATGCTCACGCTTTTTTTTTTTTTTTTTGGGTGGGGGAGGATGGGGACTTATTGTCAGCATAACTTTTCTTTTGAGGTGTGTGGTTTTTTTTTTTTTTTAACACCTCTGAAAGACAAAAGCTTTATTGTTCAGTTGCCAGTGTAGACAAAGCCTATGCCTCTGTGCTATGGATCCCCAGGGTGTTTCAAGCTCCTGAATGGAGTCCAGCCACTACCCCAGTGGCAGGGACCCTAGACACATATGCAGGGTACAGATCTATCTGGCAGCCAGCTACCTAGACTCTCTGGGCCCAACCTGACCCTTCTCACTCCCCTGTATTTAAACAACTCCTCTGCCAAAAATCCATCCAACAGGTGTGAAGCTTCTGGTTACAGTTTAACTCTCTCAGGGGCATGCAATAGTTGTGAATCAGTCACACGCTTTGTTCAATCTACTTTATATTTAATCACATAAAGTACAGGAGAGTACAGATGATACAAAACAACTGGACAGCCTAAACATAATGTTCCTCAGTAGCTTCCCATTCCCCTGGGAGATCATCTGTGTCCTGTGGACAGGCAAGATTCTCTGCACCCCCACCCAAGTTGCCTCCCTCATCTTAATCTGGGGCAAAACAGCTCATTTCTCCGGGGCAGCTCTCCCCCCTCCCCAACCTTTACAGCTGGGGTCTCCTACTTCTTTTGTTCTACCTTTTAGTAATTTCCCATTACTCCCCAAACCCCCACTGTCCTTCACTCAGACGGAGGAAGTGTCTTCTCCCACACGGGGCAAATCTACCGTCCTCAAGCATTTAACTTACAGCAGACAGTTACTGAGTGCTGATCATTCACCATAGTCTCTGGCCTGCCCTGACAACTCCGCTAACTCCTGGGCCACCCACATACGTACAGGCTTGCCAGGCCACAGTCATTTCCTACATACATGTAATAAAGTTATCCAGACTTCAGAAATGGCACAGACCGAACAGAGCCCCCCGCTTTGTCGCACTAGCCACCTGGAGCAGGCGAAAGCGGGGGCAGGCATTTGGACCATCACGCTGAGCAGGTTTTCTTGCCCCAGGGGTAAAAAGCCCTGTGAGGACCCCTCCATGGAAGGGGGGGGCAACAAACGGGTCCACACCAGGCCAGCGGAAATGACTCCGTGCCGCGAAGCAAACCTCTGACTTTAACTGAGCTGGTTTTAAAACTGCTTAGGAACCCCCCCCCCCCCCCGTGACAGCGACTCCCCGCCCCCTTAGTCACCCTGCTGGTGCCTCGCTGACCCCACGGGGCTCCCCCCCACTACAGCTCCGCAGGCGGAGTGACCGAGCCAGAGCCAAGACCTGAGCCCAGGCAGCCGGACGCCTGCCCCAAGCCAGGAACGGAACCCAGGCGTCCGACTGGCCAGAGCCGCGGACACCATTCACGGAACCCAGGCGTCCGAGGCCCCGGGCTATTCCCATACACTGGCCTCCGCCCGCCAGCGGAAGCGCCGACCGCCGTCACCCGAGATCCCCTCCCCGCTTTGCGTCATCCCCCCCCCCCCACCTCCGTTTTGACCACTTCCGGGCACACCCTTTCGTCGCGTCACGGATGAAGAGCCGAGGGGAGGGGGCGGCGCCGGAAGCGGTTCGCCGGAAGTGAGCGCGACCGGCGGGGGGGTGGGTGGAGCTTCCGGCGCGCGGTAGGGCCGAGGCACACAGAGCGAGCGCAGGGCGCGAGCCGGGGCTGCTGGCGGCCACGCAACTTCCGCTCCTTGAGCTCCCGCTCCCAGCGCGCGCCGCCTGCGAGCGATCGGCCGGCACCGGCTGAGGGGAGGGAGGCCGCCCCGCTGCCGTCTGCCTCACAGCCCCGGGCCGGCCGGCCGGACCCGGCGCCGCCGGGGGGGAGAGGCGGGACCCTCCGGCCCTGGGGGGAGAGGCAGGACCCTGAGCCCGCAGCCTGAGAACGGCCGCCCCCAGCTCCATGAATGGAAATCGGCAGCGCAGGTGGGGGGCCGGGGCGCCGTGGTGGGAGCCCCTGGGGCGGGGGGCCGAGCCGAGCCCTGGTGGCTGGGGTGGGGAGGGTTCGGTGGGGGGCCGCGGGCGCTGCCCAGGGTGGGAACTTGGGGGCCCGGCTGAGGCGGTCTCGGGGGCGGGGGTGAGTCTGGGGTGGAGGAGGCCAGGTCGGAGGCGACGCGCTGCTGGGGGGTTTCGGGGAGGTATCAGGGGCTATGCGGGGGGGGGGGGCTGGCGTGAATGCAAGGCAGGGACCCAGCTCGAGGGGGTTGGCTGGGTGCGGGGAGCATTAGGGGTACACGGGGTCGGTGCGGGGGTTGGGGTGAGGAAAGGGCTGCCTGGCTGATGCCTTGTGAAATTACCCCGGAGTGTGTCTCACTGAGCTGGGGACCCACTGAAGCCCCCCCCTGAAGTACAGGCCAAAGTGGGGCCCGGCTCAAGAGTCGATCTAAAGCTAGATTGCTCTGCTCTGACCCCCCAGGAGTGGCTTCGCCTTGGTAACCAGCCCCATTGTTGTGGGCGGTTTCCAGGAGTTGTTTCAGGCAGCCACTGAGAACTGAGGGGGTGTGAGACAGTAATATCATGAACCTGCCTGTCAAACACTTGCTGAAGTTCTTGGGGGAGTAAGGACCCCTCTCTTATGGGATATCAGTGGCCTTTGCTTTTTACCAGTCCTGCCTGATAAACCCTTATTCAGTTAAAAAGAAGCTGGTCTTACAGCAGCCCTGCCAAATTTACCAGTCTGGGCTCAGAATTAATTTGCCCTCTATCATGATGATTTTGGGGTTGGGGAAAAGATATTTTACTGAAACAGCTTAATATGCATTCTGGGTGAGAGGAATTTTGCAAAGTTTTGCTTATACAATGTTGTGTATGTTGGTTAAGAAATTGTCTGATCTCCCGTTTATTTGCTTATTAATCTTAATATGTGTGAATTTGAACAGGACAAGTTTTGTCTGACATTATTTCTGTTTAGTGATGGCTAGTTTAAAAACTAAAATAATTGGGCAGGTACTACTGATAGAACCTTAATCATAGGAAATATAGCAGAATATTATATTTTCTTCCTTAGAGCTGTCTACACATGGTAAAAAGAATGGAATATCTCATAACTGAAATTTTCCAGTCCAAATAGTGTTTGCTATATTACGCAAACTGGCATGTGACGAGTCCTTTGAGATGTTGTTGCCATGAAAATTGAAGCTGTCCCATGAAATTGATAATCATTGAGCATGGGCTCTGTGTAGCTTAAAAGCTTGTCTCTCTTACCAACTTCTGTTGATGCAATAAAATATTACCTTGGCTCCGTCATTGATAAAGTGAGCACTTGCTAACATCTATTATATAAAACAAGTGAGACACATTATTAACAGTTGTGTAACTGATGGACTTTAGAACCTTTTTTAAAACTTTGTCTAATTGTAGCCTGGTCTGTTCATTGTGTAACCATGCTCACCATGAAAAGTATTTAATGTTTTCATTTTAGTGTGTGATCTTATTACAAATAATAACTAGTATATAGTTACTCAGCATTTATGCACCATGTATTTCATATAGTCTTTGGCTCCCTCCATGTTGTTAATGTGTATTTTTGATAAGAACAGATTTAAAATTTTTATTAAAGCTTACGTTAAAATTATATAATACACAGGTTGAGAAAAGAGTGTCTGTACATCTGGATATAGTGCTTGGATTATCCACAAATACAAAATTTGCTTTTAAAAGTCATATGGTACATATAGTACATAATCAGCAGTAACCCAAGTTTAGGTGAATAAATTTAAGAATACAGTTTTGATATTAGCATCCAAGTATTTGGGTATATCACCCATGAAAAGTTATACAGAGAGTTGGTTGTGGAAAGCAAAATATATAAATGAGTGAAGATTGTCCCTCAGTAGTTGAGAATTAGGGTAGCTTGTCCATATAGCAAATACAATCCATCGGGGAAGTATTTCAGTTACTTTCCTTACTGCTCTTCTCATTGGCACTCCAGCTCATTCCTCCTGGTATTGCCAATGTCAGGTGATGTGTTCGATGTAGATGTCCCTCAACCATCTGATGGCGTCCTACGTCGTGAGTTGCCACATCAGCCGAGCTGTTGACAGATTCTGCATTCCCACAACACTTGCTCCTTACTTGGGCCCATTGGCCAGGGCTCCAGTGATCAGCATGTGTGTCTGAACCTAGTAACCCTTAGCTCTCACGGTATCGGCCAGAGGGACGTATTTCTCCAGCTTTCGAGCTCGGACATCACAGAAGGCTAGGGTCCTGTTCTCAAAGGGCACTGTGATGTCCACCATGATGACCTTCTTCTGCTCCTTGATGATGATGACACTGTCTTGTTGCAGTTGTCTGTCAGTTCCGGGGATGGTGGAGTTCACAGCAACCTTCCCTGCTGGTGGCTCTGACTGGGCAATTTTGGATGGCGTTGTGTCCCAGCTGCCAGGCTCTGGAATGGGGCTTGCAGCTAAACAGGACTTAGGGTAGTGTCTTGTTGGCATTGCTGCACTTCCTACATCACTTGTCCTGATTCCCGTGGCGGACGGCTCCATTCAGTGGAACGCAGTTGAGCCAGGCCCTGTAGATGAACCTCCAGTCAGCAAATCCAGTGAAGCTGCCCCTGGGAGGAAGTGGTTGCTAGTGTCCCACTTGCATGTCATCCCGAATGCCTTGTCCTGGGCCGGCTTCCGCTTCAGGTTTTCCACATACTGGCAGCGGATGGCATCCTTCAGGGTCCTCTCCAGCAGGGTTCTGACTCACAGAGTGATGATTGTGTGGTCCGTGTTCTTCATCTGAGGCACCAGGACTCCCAGTTTCCGGCGTTCCTCACACCATGTCCAGCGGCAGACAATACACTTCTCCAGTCATCGTGTAGCATTGCGGGCACGAGTCCAGAGCAAAAATACTGTCCATTACTGCAGGGTGGATTTGCGTTAAATTAGCAGTCTGATCAAAAGTCTTTGCTGCCCCCACTTAAAAGCTAGCTTTTGTAATTTAGTAGTATGTAGATATAGGATATGACACTCACTGCTGTCTGAGACTCTTGGCAATGGAAATTTAGTTTTCAGTGTATTAAAGGATATTACCTCCAAGTGGTTCCCTGCATGAGCACTGGCAGGGAAAGCCAAGAGGAATGTTTTGTCTTAGGCTGTACTTATTCAGCACATATCAGGTAGCTGGATAACAAATGGAGCTTCAGGAATTTGTTAGGATTGTAATTCTTTTACTTCTAAAAGGCACCCACAACTGGAAAACATGAAAATGGGTTTGAACTCTCCTATGTGAAGAAGCATCTTCATCTCTTTTGCTGTATAGACACATTTGTGACTGATGCAAGGAGTTAAATTCATGGTGGATTTGGTCCTGGAAAAATTAGTCTGGATGATATTAATTGTAGCCCTGTTTAGTAAGGGATACGACTGATCTAGAGCCATTTTAGGTGGCCATGGATTGTATTGATCTGGTGGCATATTATTAATCCTGAATTTCAGCAATCTGAACATATTTAAAAAAAAACTCCTAGCCAGTTTTGCTGACTACCCTTACCCTCCCATGCTGAGTACATTATATCATGAGGATATGGAGAATGGGTCCATCCATGGCTATTAGCCAGGATGGCAAGGGGATGCAACACCATGCTCTGAGTATCCCTAGGCCCTGTTTGCCAGAAGTTGGGAGTGGACAGTGATTGCCCCTTCTGTTCATTCCCTCTGAAGAACCTGGCATTGGCCACTGTTGGGAGACAGAATACTGGGCTAGATGGACCATTGGTGTGACCCAGTATGGCCTCTTGTATGTTCTTATGATGTAGTTCCTATTTCTTCATAATAAGATTTAGTTTTGGTAAAAGAGGAAATAAAAAATACCCATTTTGTACAAGAGTTTGAATATCAACTCCTTAAACTATACCAATATCCAAAATAATTTGAGTCTTGTTTCACCTCATGTTGTTTTCAGAAGAGGTTGTGCTATGTAAATGTCTTGATTTATATCATTTACCTTAAGATCAATACAAACTTTGTAATAACACTTTAATGTAAACTTTGTTTAGCTTCTGCTTTTCAGTCCTATCCCGTTATCTGTTACAAGGCTATAGTATATTTGCTTGTAGCAAAGTGCAACATTAAGGTAAATGCTCATAATCCAACTAGAACATCACGGTTATAAAATAACTAAAATAGATGAAAACTTTGAGGTAGGTGTACTGGAATGCACATGATAGAAGAACCAAGTGAACTGGGGAATAGGAATATGAGATCCAGATTAGAAAAGCTGAAAGATGTGGCACCAAGCTGTTGCTTGTAAGTAGTAGATTAATGTTAAATTTAACACATTTCTGGGTGATGGTGAGGCACTTGTGACCTTCCAAGTTAAATATGTTAAAATGCTGTTGTCGTGGAGCTTATTGTAGGGACTCGGGTATAAATGAGTAAATCAGCTAGCTAATCATTTATGTCAGTGGTTCATATCCAGGGGTCCGGGCCCCCTAGGGGGCCTCGAGCAGGTTTCAGGGGGGCCTCCAAGCAGGGCCAGCATTAGACGCGCTGGGGCCCAGGGCAGAAAGCTGAAGCTCAGGTCTTTGATCCCGGCCACCTGGGGCTGAAGCCTGAGTAATGTAGCTTCATGGGGGCCCCTGTGGCATGCCCCAGGCAGTTGCCTGCTTGCTACCCACTAATGCCGGCCCTGGCTTTTATATGCAGATATATATATTTATATATATAGTTGGGGATTGGTCCTGCTTTGAGCAGGGGGTTGGACTAGATGATCTCCTGAGGTCCCTTCCAACCCTTATATTCTATGAAAACCAGTTACTGTGGCATAGGTGGGCCGTGGAGTTTTTATAGCATGTTGGGGGTAGGCTCAGAAAGAAAAATGTTGTCAACCTCTGATTTATATGATTTCAAAAACAGTGTTTTGCCGACTTAAAAAAAAGTTGTGGACTTAATTTGATTAAAAGGATCAAAAATTGTTTGGCCCTACTGTGGTGG